TTGCTCATTTCAAATATCATTACAATATATACAGATTAATATTTAAATTCATATATATATTTCAATATATTAATATTCTACTAAAATTATGGGGAATTTTTCATTTCAATATCAAATTTGCAATAAATTTCGATTTAATTTATCCTTAAAAATCTGTAGATCCAGTAGAATCGAAATAAATATTCCCTCAAATCCAAAACCAACTGAAGATTCGATTACTCTTTCAACGCTAATAATAATTACAAATTATTTTCGCGGGAATTTTCGGTCAATATGACAGCTTTAATTTCGTAGTAGAAAATTCATGGTCTGAAATATCCAAAACAACTACTTTGACAAATGGAGTTATATATTAATATAAATCAGCGGAGTTTGCTAAATTCAAATATACTGGAAAATATATCTAGTTTCACAAAGATCAACATGTCCTCCCTCATGAATAAAAAAATGACCAGGCGTGGAAGAAAGATACTCACATAAACCCGAGGCGGAACATATTTGTCAACGAAATGCATCCCGACGACCTCAACGATCCCAGGAGTTATTGGCCTGACTCTGTGGCTGGTAACGTGAGCATTGGTGAGTGCCAGTGGAATGTTGGACTCGAGTTTCCCCAGGTAATGGGGCATTTTTCCCCCAAGTACTTATTCAGGACGGCATTCTGGGGATTTGTGGGGTGATGAAGGACCACTTCCACTCCTGACAACACGATCCCTGAAATCAATGTGATTAGCTTCTTCGAGGATGGAAGCCCCACGAATTCCCAGAGATATCATACATCCAGGGTAGGACCTGGTACTCACCTCAATTACTGTGACATTCAACATAAGACCAATTGGCAGGAAACTGCTATGGATCATTCAATCCGATCGTTTGATTCAATCAGCCCGTACTGAGGTATACGAGAGACATCAACCGGATTATCAATTGATTAAATAATTAATTATCTCAATCTGGGAGTGTTAACGACGACTTGGGGCCTCTGTCCGCAGGAGTTCATCAATCTTACGACGATCGGAGACGCAGGGGTTAACAGTTCATTGACAAAAATTAAAAAAAAAAGCTTGGCATTTATTCTGGATGTTCCATACCATACCGTACATATAATAATATACTCAAAATTCACGTTTTTTTTCAATTTTTTGAGAAATTATCGATGACATTTTTTCAGGAAAACTTTCGTTTTCTCATTATTTTATGACTGACGAAGGTCCAAGGTGGTGTTAACGTATTGCTGCTTCAAAGCTTTTTGAAAGAATCACAAAACTGTAGAAATAACGCGTAGAAGTAATTGCACCACCACGAGTCATTAAATAATGACAAAATCCAAAAATATATTTTTTCACGTCAATCTCATTGCTAATTTGCCAAAAAAATGAAGAAGCAAGTGGATTTTGGTGTAAAAATTGTTGAGCATCCTAAAAATGGTGTATAAATATTTGCTTTAAAAATATTGAAAAATTGAACAAAACGTAAAATTTATATAAAACAAAAAAATCTCATTTTCACGTTCAGAACGCCGTATCTCCATGAAAAATGAGGGGAGGCCCATAACTAATGTATTTTTTTGAAAGTTCTTTAATAAGTCTTCAAATGAATATACAATATATCACCTCAATACGAAAGGAGGAGAGGAACTATCCTGAAAAGCGAATAGTAAGGGAGCGCTAAACATTAAGACATGAAAATTATATTACATTTCATTATGAATAAAGCATCCAGTTGAAAATTACTAGCGAAATAAAGCTAATTTTAAATCATAATAAAATGATAAATATTGTAATTTTAATGAAACTACAAGTAATAATCGCAAGGAATAGAAAGTTGAAATAATTTTTTGTGTCGATCGAGCGTTTATCGACTGATATTACCACTAACATCTTTATTTTTATCACCGCCAATTGGTGATGGAGTAAGCAATAAAGGGGATCAGAATGAAATCGCCCAGTCGTTTGGTAAAAGCTCCATCGAGTCATGATAGCGAACGAGTCGAATAACATTTTCATCTTGCTATTTCGAAAGGGGAATAAAGACGTGGAAGATTGGGTCGGATTCCCTGGAACGAGAGGAAAATGAGTGGTTAAATAAAAAAATATGTGTTTTCTAACTAAAATTGGATGGTTTAGCGTGAAGTTCCAGGGGAGTAGAGCCCACGGGGAGTTTCTAATAATGAAATCCACGGCGAAACAGGAGATGCTTTTTTTAAAAACGCCACGCGGTACGGGATAATTAAGAAGCTTTGATGCAACCAGCTCGAATTCCCTTGGTATCAACTTCTTGGAATAATTATGATTGTTCAAATAGTCATGTGGAACCTCCGGTGCTCCAAGTCCCGGAATTTCCTTGATGTTTTCAATTAAAATGGAATTTTCATCTGAATCATTTGTGCGGCTTTCACTACCATTTGCAAGGCCACAAATTCTCCTCCAATCAATGGAATAAAGTTGAAAAATTGTTAAATTAAAAAGTTCTCATGAATGCAGAAACTCCTACTATTAGTAGGACGAAATTTTTTCTTCTCTGTCATTCTAATGGGAAATGGCACAAAGTTGGCTCCAGCTCTACCTCTGGAAGAGTGAACGAGACCAGCTGTTCTCACCTGACTGGCAATTAGCAAAGTTGAGAGGACAAAGGAACTGAGGACGAAACAAGAGCCATGCCAGACCAATTATTGACCCAACACTCGGCCAATTGCAAGGGCCCAGTCACTAGGTGTCCAATGACATCTCCCTCGTTCCCAGAATGAATTTAATATGAGCGGAATTTTTCAATTTCACCCCAGAGTAAGAAAGTTTTCAAAGTTAATCGCATTATGCGAAGACATTTCCCATGAGGAGAGAAAATCTCGATTCTCCTAATGTCTCGCACTGGCATTACCGAGAGGATGGCATTCAAAAAAGGGAACACCCCATAATCCGGTTGTATTGAATTTCTTATTACACTCGAGTGCTTCCTGGGTAAAACAGAAGGCAGAGAGATTCCCTCCTGCATAATGTGTCTCGCATTCTCATCCTCAATTCAGGAAACATATCTCCTACTGAATTCCACCGGTTGCCATCTCCGGGGGAAAAAAACGATTATTTACCTATCGCTGATAGAAAAGAAATAAATCTATATTAAATCATGATTACCGTGAAAAAGGATTTATTCTTCTCATCATCATTCAGAATATATTTACAACCGACTACATGTATTTTTTTGTTAGGATATAATTACAATAATTTCATTTTATTTTATCGTTTTTAATGGAAAAAATCACTTCTGCTGGCTTGAGAAAATTCTTGCCCCGAATGCAATTTCTTCCAGCGAAAGTTTTATTACTCTGTTTAAAAATTTAGTAATGGAATATGAATTTACACTTTTTTGAGTAAACTCTCAGAACTCAAATATTTTCTTGGAAAATAATATATTTGACGGAAAATCAATACTTGTGTTGATCCTTGTCTCCTTGTTAGCAAAATAATTAATTTGCTTTGAGTCGAGTTCACAGCCAATAAATAATTAATTTAAGAACATCAGATATTTAAGGCACAGAATTTTTTAACGAGTTATTCGAAATTTCTTTCCTTTCAACGAAATGACGTATTTGAATTCTCGTTCCAGAATCATTAATATTCTCGACCGAAGAAAAAACGATTTTAAAGAAACACATTATTAATTAATTTTCCAGATAGAGTGCCTCCAAAGAAACTAAATTATTTTTTATCAGAGTGAATATATTTCCGGCAGAGCAAATATTTTCTCTCAGTGTCCCCAGAAGCAAAAAAATGGTATGCTTTATGAGACTCACCATATTTTTGCCGACAATGTTGCGAAAAATTCATTCGGAGTCAATACTAAACGTCATGATAAATTGAGCTACAAATTTTTCTCGGTGCATTGCACAGAAATAAAAACGAAATTACAACTTCCATTTTTGTGGGCGGAAAACGGAAATGAAGCAGTAGAACCCTGAGGCCCACAATAGAGGGTTTGTCGTTTCAACAAGTTGTTCAATAAAACGAAAACGCTGAAACTGGAAGCTTCTGCAGGCATAAGCTGTCGCACACCCCGAGGGCACAACGTTGTTTTACTTTGGACTCATCTCTCTAAAAAATATCAGCCCTACAACGCTATCATTCCCAAGTCTTATGGTTATTACTCTAAACGATGAATATCCAATTCTCATGCAAAAGCTTCTTTTATGCATCGACATAAATTATTTACTTTGTTTGGACAGTTTAATAGGAAAATTATCTCATCCACCTGTGCAGTGAAGTACTTCATCAATTTTGTAGAAAAATTTCCCTATTTATCTAACCGATTATCAGATTGAAGATCATAAGGTGTTGAATAAATTAATAAAAGAGGAACTTCACATTGTCACCTCTTTGATACTTTGAATCTCCATGGAACCATCCGTTTTACATCCACCGATCTCACACGAATAGTTTACTGCAAGATGGATGGAGCTGTTTTTTTTCTACAAGGGCATTCGAACGAGGAGATGTTGGCCTGATACTCGTAAATTTCCATCGTTTCCCTCTCGATTGAAGTGTCTATAGACTTACCTTCGCTCGGATCCAATTGTGGTTTATTCGCTAGCCATAAAACTTTACATTTAGATAGATATTTCTTCAATCCATCAACGGCTATTGCACGGATTAATCATTACGTCCACAATGTTCATCAATATTTATCAAATAACTACACTTTGTCAATCACCATTAAAATCCACCACTTAATTAATATTAATTTATTTAGTCATAGGGCAAATTTTAATTCAGAAGTGGAAGATAAGTCGATTTAGATAGTAAACAAGTTTTCAAAGGATATCTCAATAGCTTTTTTGTGGAGTGGAATGAGAGCTATAGAAAAGGTGATTACGAAAATTTCGCTGTCTCGATTAGATTTAGAGATATTCATGGAAAGTTTAGACATTGGTTGGATTATCTTTTTGTTACTGAATTTCATGGTAATTTAACATGAAAATGTTGCTGAACCCTGATTTTTTGTTGCAGAACCTTATTGTCCTGGTCTGTTTGATGGATGGTCATGCTGGCCGGATACTCCGGCGGGTCAGAAAGCCTTCACGAAATGCCCCGCGTTCATTACAGGATTCGACGAATCATGTGAGTACAGTGAAATTTTTTTTTAAATAAGAAAAACGCAGGAATTTTCGAATTCTTGGAGTAATGAATGATAATTGTCCGATCAAGTATGATAATTTTAACTTTTTTTTTTGCCAAACTCGACCGCAAAATTTTATAAATATCTGAAAGGCAAGATTTATTATCACAATAGAATTTTCATAATTACATGCTAATGTTACTTTCCGCGTAATATTTACCAGAATTTTTTTGCAAACATAGAAAAATAAAGTGTGTGTTAGTCCTGTATTTTCAAGGTTCAAAACACAAGTCTGCAACTCGTAAGGAGACAGAAATTATTGTGAAAATTGTGCATAGCGGTTTGTTCATTGATCCATGAGTACAACAGATTTCCATGAGGTAAGTTCTCTCAATTACTTCGGCTCCAGTTGATTCACATAGGAGTAGACATTTGCGACGACAGCCGGATCGCGATGTTTCTGCAGTTTCCTCACAACTCTCCAAAATCGTGACTCGCATGTAAATCGAGAACAAGACGCTAGCATGATCGACGCCATGATCGTGAAGTCCACATCCCCAAGTTCCGTTATTTCCTCCATAATCTCCAACACCGTAACATCCCCCTGGCCGTGGCTGATCCTCAACTCGATGAACGAAAACAGAGCCTTAGCGATAAGAGGCAGAGACTCCCTGGAGAGTGCATTGACGAGACTAGGCAGAATCTCAAGGATTTTCCCAGCAAAATCCTTGGGAGACAATGGTTTGTCAAACGCAGAAGTAAAGATCAGATATAAATAGCACGTGGGTTCTTGCTGTGGTCGAAGCACCGAGAAGATCGTCGTGAATAAGGCATCCGCAACGGTCTTAGCGACAGGTGAGATCAGTGGCCTAATTATATGAGACAGCTGAAAAACGAAATAATTCCCGAGGAGCGCTTTTCCTGGCTTGTCGCCATCAGCATCCCAGTACTTCACGATGACCTCCGCCAATAACGTTTGAAAATATATCAGACGTTCCCCCAGGTTGTCCCCAGCCTTCTCCAGGTATCCGCAAATGACATAATTCTGCATGCTATTGGACAACGCGTAATGAGGTTGCGACAAATCGAAGAAAAATTCCTTCAGAATGAAGTGATGTAGCTCTTCTGGGAAGACATCAACAACATTAATAATGGAGTAGAGGATATCACTGAACGTGGCTAGTGCCTGCTCTCTGCTGAGTCCTCCTTCCATCCCTTCCAGTCTTCTGATGGCTCTAAGCAGCATCTTGACATAGTCAGCAAGGAACTCGTCAGGAATCTTTGTGATAGTTGCTAAAGACTTGATAGAATCGTCGTCCCCTCTGAGATCGTTAACAGCTTCTACGAGGATCCCCCAGATGTCCTGACTGGGTTGGTTCACGAATAATTCCAGGATCGATTTGTAAACGATGGCCCTAATTGATCGGTGCTTGTCTTTTCTCAATTGATCCCTTAACATATCAGTTATTTCATCAATCTTCGCGACCCTGACAAACAATCTAATCCCGTGCTTCTTGATTGACACACCCTTTTCCATTAATTTCCTGCAGAATGCGATTACTTTGTCAGCTGATACACGTCGACCTACAGTCGCAAAGCAGTTAATAATCGAGTGAATATAATCTCCGATGCAAAACTTCAGGATAACGTCCAAGGAAACTGGAGGGTTCACCAGATTGAATGCCATGGGAATGGTAAACAATAAGCGGACGTCCGTCTTCTCATCGTTCTTGGGATCGATTGTGGATTTCTTCGGAATGAAGGGGGTGATTAAGCGCTCAAAAGATTCACCTTCGTACAAAAGTGACAAAATTATAATGTTCCCGTCACCTCTCTCAGTCTCGAAACTGCTCAGGGTTTTTTCAGAGAATTTAATGGGCAACTCCTGGTGCCACCGACAGGATCTCAAGAATCTTTGAACAAGCCTTGAGTTTATGTTAACATATACACTATTCAAATAACTCTCCCAATTTTCTAAGATCTCTTTCGGATTTCTTTTGAGGAGAACGATGATTTTTATAGAACGCATGTCAATGGCGGAGTTCTCCAGGGACTTGTCTGAGACAATAGCGTCCCACAAATCCTTGTCTGTGTCCTTCAGTAAGCCAGACAGCCTCGTTCTCTCCCACTGCGGCTCGTCCTTGTCGTTCAGAATCTTCTCCAGGACGAGTATCAGCCAGGGATAGCTCCTTAGAGACAAATTTTCCAACTCTGATTTCTTGTTTTCTGAATTCCTCGTGTTGAAACTATTGACTGCCTCCACGAGGAACGTCGTAATATTTGTCCGAGACCACTCTCCCTCCCAGACCTTGTGGTTCTCCGGGTATTTTCTCCCGATCTTCTCTAGAAAGCTCTCCAGACATTTTCGCTCGCAGTTTGGATTCTCCTTTACAATATTCCAGGTTGGTCTCCAAGAATTGCGGTAGAGCTCGATCAAAAGATCGATTTTCTCATCGATCGGCAGATCATTGATGAAGCGGAAATGGATCCCAGTGGTGATAATATTCTCGGAACTGTATACTCTGCTCTGCAGTTGATTCTTCATGTGGAGCAGTTGGATGATATCGTCCAGGAGCACCCAGTGGTCAACAGTGAGGTCCTGTACCTGGAAATTATCCGGAATGATCGCCAAGACCTCCAGAAGCATCCAAGGCTGCTCGTTCTTGTGCCTGACGCAGATGTATTTGAGCACCTCCAGCAGCGCGCCCTTATCCTCATTAACAGCGCAAGTGTAGATCAACTGCTGCATCAGATCCCTCCTGTCGTTCACATTCGAACTCCGACCAATCTGCGTTTTGATCAAAGGAATGGACTCGTCAACCAACAGATAACATCTCCATGAGTTTTTGAGTTGCCAGTTTTGTCCAAGGTGCCAGTCCTGATCTACTTCGAGCTTTCTTCTCGCCTGTCTCACCCTTTCCTCTACAGGCAATGCCCTCATTACCTCCGGGGTTACCTGGTCCTTAGACTCTAGCAGATTCGACCCATAAACCTCCCGAAAAGTTTCCAGCAATATTCCTATCTTGTCCTCTTCCTGACAGAACTCCAAATAGCCAAACATCTTCCTAAATTGGAATTCGTGGATTTCCTTAGGGAACAAATTTCTGAACATCAACCGGAATTGCTCTCTCGACAATTTTCCAGTGACCTTCAACGGCATCATTGGCAGAAACGCCCTGGGACTGCGAACGAGAGCTTCAATCCCCTGTTTCATGAATAACTCGGTTCGCTTCCGACTGAATTGAATCTCCCATGAACTCCCATGCATCTCAATTATCTCGACAAAGCTGTTCATGTTTTTTTTCATCATCGTCGGTAAAAAATCCGAGTAATAAAAAAGATCGACGTCCACCATACTGTGTTTTGCCTTCTTTGAGCCGGTCAATTTCAAATAATCGATGATAACATTGGGGTGGCGCTGGTAAATAATTTGTACAAAACGAATACTGAGGGCAACTTGGCGCTCTTCTACGATGAGTTTTCGAATGAAACCCTCACTGCAAGCAATCAACAGAGGTTCCCCGCATTTTTTACCATACTTCCAGCTCAATTCCGAGTAAAAGCTCTCGGCAAGGCCCGATTTGTCCCCGTTGTAGGCTAAAGAGACGGATAATTTCTTCACAAGTATCCTCCGGTGGTTCAGGGAGATGTGGGGAAAGATGTGGAGTCCGTAGAAATGGGGATTTGTGACCTCGGGATTGCTGCCATCGAAAAACCATTTTGCAGTCAGGGCACGCTCAAAAACTAGCTCATCTTCTGATCTAAGGGCCTGGATCAGGCCCTCTGGGTCTCGGAGGCCCTTCGCAACTTCGACCTGTGCCAAGGGAATCAGGGGCTCTGGAATGCCAAGGGACTTCAACTCAAGCTCAGGGCAGATTGAGGGGTCTTTCAATTTTGAGGAGACGACGGACGCCGCGGCTTTGTTCAGGGCGAGAAATTTTTCACCTGGGGATAATCCCGGGATCCTCTGGATTGCCGCGAGGTACGGGGAATTCATTTTTTATCGTGACCGTCGATGACACTTCTCGGTTGGTGCTAATCACAAAATTCCTGCTGTTTGCAAATAATTTCAAACATTAATTTTTAACGTTTATTTATTTAAACTAAATAAATCACTAAATAAATTCTAAGGGATTTGGGGTTCAATGTAAAAAACTATAATTTTCTTCAATGAAAATTTAATAACTAATTGTTGATGAATTCAATTTTTCCTTTATCATTTTTAATTATTATATGACATATTCCGGAAAAATTAGGCGACTACTAATTGTTACTCTACAACATGACAATTATTGTTTACGACTTTTTCTGAGGTTATGCATTGACAAGAAGTTGATAACCAGGTCTACTTATTTGATTTTCAACTTGAAGCGAACACAATTAAGAAAACGTCGTAAAATTACGAATAAATCATTATAATAATAATTGTAGTGTTCAATTTTCCCAACATTTTTTGATATTTTTGGATAGTTAACAATAGAGATGAAAGACGACATAAAAATGTATTTTAAGGTTATAGCAGGCAGAGGATTGAATAATCCCAACAATTACAAAATCGCGTACCCCCAAGCCACACTAAAATCCCATAAAGTGAAGGTTTTTTTAAATTTTTTGGGGGGGGCGTAAGGGTTCTTTTATGCCGGCGATTCGACAGGTGAATATTCCGGTTCCATATTTCGAATTGATTTAAAAATTTTACTCACTCAGTGATTGTTCATTTGATTGTCGTCTCGGAGTCCACAGAATATTTTTGAAAGAGGTGGATTTGAGAAGAAAATTGGGGAAATTGAGAAATGGAGAACAATGAAGACCAAAGTGGTAAATACGTTAACTTATGACTCGTCACACCCACTGGGCATGCGCGCAGCTGTTTAAGATAAACAAGTTGCAAGTGTGTTGGAAGTATGTCTGCAATGTACGTACCTATTCGGTAATTTTCTGATATTTTTATCGGACATCGAGTCTATTTTTGCACCCATTCCCGACGTTACTCTTTGCAATATTTTCATTGATTTCTCCCTTTTCAATGGCAAATCTACAAAAGAGAGAAAAAGATCCATTTTATCCAGTCTCAAACACATTTTTATTCAAACAGGTTTATTGATAAAACAAATTTTTTTCCTAGTCACTCAAATATGTTTCTATGGTTATTATTTAATTGTGCTATCTACATCGATGGGAGTTGATAATTAACTAATTGATTTACCGAGTTGTGAATATTTTTTAACGTTGGAATTAAATAATAGGAAAAATTAAATAATCGCTGTGTAATTAAGCCGCAACGGAATAAACTCTGCTAGAAATAGTGAGGATTTTCTGGTGTTAACGGTTTAATAATTATGGAATTATTGGAATATTTAATTTTAATTCGAAGGTTCGCTCTTTCTTTCTACATAAATTTATAATCAAAGTTATACACAACTTTACTATACCATGATAGATTTATGAAAATATTCTCAAAATATTTGATAACAGTCTTAGAGTTTATTCTTTAAACAAGATTTAATTTTGGTGTAAACATTCTCCTCCGTCGTCATCTCCAGGCTATCAGAGATTTTCATGCAATCGTAATACTGTAACCGAGTCAGAGGAGTCCACATGACAGGTAATAAATCCGATTTCGATGGAGTTGGATTTCTGAAAAAATAAAAGTAATAATCCCAGCAGAAAATATTAAAACCCGCCGACAAGAACAAAAACGCAGAGAATAAAAAGTTTAAATTTTCAACAACTTGTCACTAATTTTGACCTAGGTTTAATAATCCCTCGGATTTATTGAACAATTAATTCGTTCATTAGGTTTTTTTTATTGGAAAAATATTTGCAAAGATGAAAAGTCACTGTGGAATTAAAACCGAAGCTCAATTGAATGAAATTAAATATTTAACACATTAACACTTGAGAAAAATAGTTGTCTGATAGTCATGGAATTTTTCTACTGATAATTTCAATCTGAAAAGCCGTCGTTGCTTTTGAAAATTCAATCTAAATTCTGCAGAATTTCCACTAGTATTTTCCATAAAATATTTTTACACGTGTGGATTAAGCCCTTAAAAATGAAAACTTTCTATTTTCTCGAAACTCGCAGCATTACCCCGTCTTAGCAAAGTTAGTCCACAACTGAGTGAACCGCTCCGTAAGTAACTGGTGGATGTCAGAGGAGTTGGGAAATTCAATACCGAATTGTTGAAATATTTTTGGATAGAACAGTAGAGATAATTCATCACCGTGGCAGGTACCTTAAAAATGAAAGGAGTATAATATCAAGCCGCAGATAGATATGCGGTGAACGATGAAAAATTATCAGAGGATCTCACCAGGTTGAGTAATATTCAGGGATAACTTGACGATGGAGTTGCCTGTATCACAGTCAAACTTGTAGACATACGTTGGGTTCTTGGACACCTGTACCTGATGGTCGAGAACCTCATGAATACCGGCGATGAAATGAGTGTCTCCTTGAAGATCCACATAATTCTGGACAGACTCCAATGAAATTTTGCGATTGCCAAAATATATCTTCCTCATGTCCATCACGGTGAGGTTTTTCATCTGGGCATGTTTGACTGCATTCGGATGAATCAACGTGGTCTGATAGTTCTCATCAATCTCCGACCAGTTGGATAGAAATGTCTTCTTTCCGTAAGGATTTTCATGATTCCTGCGTTCACCTAATACATAGCGCCTCGTTGAATTGAAAATGAATTTTTAACGGAAAACTTGGATTGACGTACCTGACAGAGCTACGAGGCCTTCGTCGCTTACGTAACCTATAATGCAGGGCACTTTGATCCCAGATTTGATGGCCTCGAATAGAGGTTTCGACAGGAATGGGTTCTTCGATAGTGAATCCACAGCTGGTCCAAATGGAGTAATCAGCAGTATTTTATCCTGGAAGGGATAGGGCGCTTTAGCGGTGTTTGATTGGGTTTATTTATTGATTGGTTTATGAAATTCCCGTTATTCTCCGATTTATCGCTGCAGCTTGAATTTACGGTTTTCCTTTTTTCATTGAGGCTTTTCCACATAAAATTTCAGAATAATATTAAATAAATTGCATTGCCTCTTTTTTTCTATTCATGAATATTCAGATCAGTTAAATCACCATTTCTCTCTATTGATGAGTCATTAGAACTGACGTTATTGACTTTATCAATTGATTTTTGCATCAATTGACTTGAGAAGTTATCACCGCTGTTTGCATTTATGGATATAATGTTTAAGGCCCGGATGGACTGTCTGGAAAAGATAATTTACTCAAAAATTGGGACTTCTAATTACTTCGTCAATTAATCGTTTTTTCCGATAATTGTTAGCTAGCGGCCTATTTGTTGACAACCGCTAGAACGCTAGCTCACAATTATTGACAAAAATGATTAATTGTCAAAGTAATTAGGAATCCGAATTTCGGAGTAAATTATCTTTTCTAGATAATGCACCCGAGCCTTACTTGAAGATTGTGACTCTTCAAATTTGGCTTAAAAAATAAGGGAAAGCTTACATATGGCTGAAACATTTTGGCCTGTGCCTTAATGAGCTCGTGGACATCAATACTCTTTAAAAAATGGAGTAATTCTTTGGGGTCTTCTATTTCCTTTCCTAGTACAGCAGCAAGTTGGCATGCACTTCGTTTAGGGGATCTTGCTATTGTGGCCCATGGATTTATCAGCACACCACTTTGCAGAATAGCCTTCTGAAATAACCCTGCAAAGCCCTTGGATTAAACACCAATCCTGTGAACTAAAAAGCAGTTCAATACCTTCACCCATCGGAGATACGCAGAGGAAATGAACAGATGCCGATCCAGCACTCTCTCCAAAAATCGTTACATTCCCTGGATCTCCACCGAATCTATCAATATTTCGTTTAATCCATTGCAACGCCATCACCTGGTCCTTCAGCCCCTGATTTCCATTCGCAATCTCATCCTCCAGGTCCAGGAAACCTGAAAAAATTATCGCCTTTTATTCCACGCGAATAAAGAAAACACGAATTAATTTTTCATTTAAATTGAATTTTCAATGTTTTGGGTTTCAATTATAGTTGAGATCAAATTACTGATGGAAGCAAACCAGAGAATGGACAGAAAAATTCACCTAAAACCCCGAGACGATAGTTTATCGTGACCAGAACAATATCCTTTTCAATCAGATAGTCCGGTCCGTAAAGGGTATCATCACCAGATCCAAAGATAAAGCCCCCACCGTGAATCCAAACCATCACGGCCTTCGGAATTTCTGGATGGATCGATGGTGTGTAGACATTGAGGTATAGACAATCATCACTGCCGACTATACTGTAAGTTATAAGATCAATGTGGGCACAGTTGTCACCAAAGCTTGTGGCTTCTCTCACACCGCTCCATTTGAGTGGAGGTCGGCAATCCTATTTGGTTCCAATCAGAATAATAAACGTAATAATCGATTTATTGATTTCAATAGAACAGAAATCTTTCAGCATGTGGCAGAAACAATTAAAAAATTTTTTGACCGCGAATTCGTGGAGGAATTGCCAATGAAATCACCTGGAAGCGAAGTTCCCCGACGGGTGGTTGAGCATACGGTATTCCTTTGAACGCAATGAACTCTCTCCCATGGACATTAGTTTCCCTGCTCCCCCTCAACTTTCCCGTATCAATTTCAACTTGGGGACTCTCCATGTTAATGAGAAATCAGCTGTTCCCAAGGACGTTCAGGCACCTGATAAACTTCTCCCAAATGCACTGGACACTCAACACCTCAGTACAGATACTCTCTGTACTTTTTCAAGCTGTTCCTGTCCTCTTGTAGAAATACTCCCCACCACCTTCTCGTATTCATATCACGAGTTGTCGATGTCTGTGTGGAATACTTCGGTTAAATCTTGCTATGAAACAGTGACGGCGTAAATAACGGGTCATGCAAAGATCTCTGTCAAGGCCAAGCAGTCATCCCGTATTTCCTCCGATGAAAATCACTGATAGTTTATAAGAAAATTTGCAATAAATATTTCCATCTAGTCGATGCAATATACATGGTGCCTGGAGTTTCGAGCGAAACAAAGGCGATAAGCTGGGGCAATTATAGTTTTATTTTTCTGTTTTCCTATGTTTGGGCGTAATCTGATGCAGTGTGCCATTTTCGATTGCCTCTATAAAAAAAGTATTGTATCTTTTTTCATACCGATTTATTTTGCCGGGTTTATGGGCCTACACTTATATTAGAAGATGAAAAATTTAATTGGGGCCAAATGAAATCAATTCTTCAAATATATTTCTCTTTATGTGAATAAATAAAAATATATATTATAGTATTATATGTAATAATTTAGTATGCATAGCATATATTTTTTTTATTATTTTAAATTTTACACTTTTGTGAACTTCGATAAAATTTCTATTCACTTTTGAAATTACTTTTTTATACGAATAATTTATTATGCACAATAATACACTTATTCAGATAATTAAAATGTAATTTGATCATATTTTAATTATTCGAGGCCCTTCAACCATGTTTTCTACTAATTCTAAAATGGGAAGGCAATATATATTCCGAACGGAGAAGATAGTTTAAGATTTGAAGAATTTTCATCATCTGTTGAATCATAAATTTATAAAATATTTAATGGTATATTTATATTTTTATTGCTCTCGGGTCTACGTTTCTATGTTTATAATTCTTTAGCGTACAGCTGCCGAGATACGGTTTTGATAATTTTTCTGATGTTTCTGTTAGGAAGTGCCACCAAAAACTAAAATTAAAAAAAATCCAATTTAGTTCATCGTTTGCGAAATTATGGCTATTTTAAAACAAATCCCGAAATTTTTCAAAAATCGAAATCTCGAAAACTGTTCAATAAAAAAAAATTTTTTAAATCATGAAAGCATCTTTCGATCGATACTCCAATATAAGAAAATTCCAAATGAATTGGAGATGCAATGGCTAAATGGTATCCGTTTCGGTGTGGAGTGGCCCATATATAGATGAGGCATTCCATGTAACTCAACGAGACCAAAACCAAAATCGTGACATCGTCGATCATATTGTGGATTTTTTCTGAGATTATATATAATGTGAGATGTCTTCTCAATTTTTTTCGGATTTTTGTAATCATTCTGTGAACGGCAATTTTTTTTTTTGTAAATTTTACCTTCCAGTACCCATAGCTCTCGTGAAAATCAACCGATTTGTTTTATGTTTTTCCAAAATGCGTTTCCCATCGTACTTAAAAAAAACATTATCACATAAATATTTCAAAAAAAGTACTCGTTTTCAAAGTTACATAATTTTTTTTTAATGTCAGTGAATATGTTAAATTAACAAACAGTTTTTCGTCCAAATATATATTTTATTTTATATTTGCACTATTTTATATTAAACAATTGTTTTATCAAAATGAAAAATAGCGTAGTTTTCTCTAGTAATATTAATATGAATAATAAGAGTGATGTTGAGTTGAGGGAAATAAAATGTAAAAAACCGAAAGGTTAAAATAGATGTAAGTAAAAATATTTACGTCCGTTCACTTCGAGCAAGTGAATTTATTCAAAAATAGTGCATTTTGTTGATATATTATTTAAATATAATTTAATAATGGAGATAATCACATGTAATCATCAATCAACCGGGCATTTTCCAGTGATAAATGTCCCTTCAAGAGTCAACACAAGGGAGAATTTATGTGTGAAACCGGATTAACTTTCGCGAAAATATGAAACTTGTTTTCCCGGCAGTTTTTCTCCTCCACCCACTTAGAACCAACTATTACTATAAAATGAATGAAGCCTTGAAGTCGTCTCTCGGTGCGCCTTATTACGAAGTCTCTCAAGAGCTCATATCGCACAAGTGACATGGCATAATATAAATGCAAATATTTGGATATATTGTTTACGCACCGAGGAAAAAAAAATACTGTTTAAATAAAACATTTGGTAAATGAATAATCATCAACTCTTTCTCACGACAAACGTCCGAAGCATGACAATCGGAAATTGGAAAAATTTTTTTTTCTAAATCATTCCAACGAGCCATTTCTTATGATGAAACGTTGATAAAAAGTCGCAGTCATGAATAATTGATTATTGAAAATTAAATTATTTCAATGACGTGTCATGCATTGTGACCTCAGCGTTTGTGCCAGTTTATGATTCGCATGCAGCGCCATCAGCCGGTTACATTCGTCGTTGAATTGTGCATCCATTTAAAGATAATATACTCTACTCCAAAATGTCAAAAAAACCAGTGCGAATGGAAAAAATAATGACAACCCATGTAGGGTTAGCCAACCTTTACAATACGGCCGAACATTGGGCGGAGGTCGATTACCCGATCATCGGGCCCCCGATGAATGGCCGTTGACTAGCCGATGGTGTCCACACCGATCATCGAGGTCCCGATGAAAAGCCGTCCATTGGCTGATGATGTTCATACCGATCATTGGGCCCACGATGATGTTCGCACCAATCATCGGGGCCCCGATGATGTTCGCACCGATCATCGGGGCCCCGATGAAAAGTCGTCCATTGGTTGATGATGTTCACACCGATTATCGGGCCCCTGATGATGTTCGCACCGATCATCGGGACCTCGATGAAAAGCCGTCCATTGGCCGATGATGTTCGCACTGATCGTCGGGGCCCCGATTAAATACCGTTCTCCGACCGACGCCCGAAATGGCATCCGAAAGTGCGAAAAATGCTCAACCCAATCCATAAGTACTAAATCCTAATCCTCATAAGCTAGGTTTTACAGATTTAGAAAAAAGGAATGGCAGGATGGTATATGCATTCATTCTCTCTCCTAACATATACAATATAACAATTAATATCCTAAATAACAATATTAATGACTTGAATCATTTGAAAATAGTAAATCACATAATCCTAAGCATATAATTTTGGCGCCAAGTAATATTTATAAATCCCAAAAAAGATGATTTATAAGAATTTCCAGATGACCTTCACTTATAGGGTTTTTCCCAATTTTTCGCTTTTCCCTATCGCAAATCTTCTTCGCAATTTCAAACTATTCCGTAATTAAGTATAAACAAAACTGATGTAAATATAGGGATAGAGCCATCGGCTGGTGACCTAGTTTTCTATTAAGCATTAATTAATATACTATGTACAAAATAAATGCATATAATATCTCATCTCAATAAACTCTTGTTAATTGTTAATTGTTAATTGCCGGATGGTCTAGCAGGTAACGCATGCGACTATAACTCCCAAGTACTTAGGGTTCGAGTTACGTCAGAACAATTTTTTTTTAATTTTCATCTTTTCTTTTTTTGCTTCACTAGAATTAATGAAAACGGTCACAAAACTATTAGAAAACATTTGATTGACCATTTATTGACTTGATTTATCAACTTTGATATTGCGCAATCATCGGTGCCGTTGAGCAGCATGAAGTAACGCTCCAATGATCGGCAGATGATTGGTCGATCATCGGTGCCGATCATCGCCGGACTTGGTGCCGAACTCGGCCCAATGAGTGGCCGTTCTGTATAACCCTACATGGGAAAGTATTGTTTTGTGCCACAATGCCCAAATAACACAAAAACAGCGCCCGTGAGAACGTTCATTTCTGTTGCGAGATGTAAAGAAACTAAAAAAATTTGGTGTACTAGTTATGCATAAAGCTTTCGGATAATTACCCTCAATTATAAATTTCATTTTTTAATTCACTGAATTTTTTAAACACATAAAAATATTGAATTCAATACCATTCTTCTAAAATTATTCCTTTATTCAACATTTATTTGAGTTTGTGATTTTTATTATTTCATTAATGATAAATGAATTCGATAAATTGACAAAAAATTGAAAATTAACTAATTGAATTAAATTATGTAATTATTTCTTCAGTTGATGCAATAAATTCTTGTTAGTAAAGGAGTTGAGGGAATTGATTGATCTCTATTAATTTTCTGTGAAATTTCAGGGAAAACCCAGCAATTCGGCTCCATAAAAAATACAACCGTCATTGATCAAGAATAATCCTCAGGTGCTTATAAAATTACACGTTTCGATGTGATAAAGGGATGAAGCGGATGAAATAACTTCTGAAGGATGAGGGAGGAATGTGGCTCAAACCTGATTGATTTCAAAACTTTAAAATTGAAGATTTCTACTGATACAGATTAGACCGAAGGCCAAACCCCTCGTACATAAACTTTAATGGCTTTTTGCTCTTATTCTCGAGTCATTAATGGGAATTGCAGGGTAGACCACTTACACCGCACATCCTCATCTTTTTTTTGGTACGACCGCTTTAGTCTTGATAGCACGAGCTGTTTCCACTTATCGGACTGGAATTCCCGGATTTTTTTTTCTCATCCAAAAAGGGTTATCATACCGAGATTATGGGACATGAAAATTCAACCGTTGGCCCTTTGCCCTTCGCGCCTCTTTGCTTTCCCTATCTGGGGAAAAATGGACTTTTAGTCCGCGAAAATTGAAAAAAATTTTCGTACTTTGTGCCACCGTTGAATTACGACTCTTTGGTTCTCAGTGCAATTTTTTCCTGTAATAATGTGACATTTCTCTTTGACAGTGGGGTTTTCATTCTCTCTGCGTGCAGAACAAAAAGGCGTCTCTGGCATAAAAAAGCGAGAAAATAGTGAAAAGGGATGAGCAAAAAGACCACAATCGATTCAGAGTGGTGAATGCGTGTGCCACACCTTTTTCTCTTTTCTCTCCCTCACTTCACCCTTGTTGACGATCTATTGTGCATTTTATGGATTTCAAGGGTAAATGGGTTATGTATTCTTTCGTGAAACGAGGCCAGCGATCTAATAAGGGGAATATTAGATGTGC